GTAAAAAAAAAAAAAAAAAAAAAATCCGTAACGGGATCGCCGATTCACTGTTCGGACTCGCCGATTCCGTACAGTGAATCGGCGATTCACTGTTCAGAATCGTCCGATTCTCTCTAGAACCGGACGATTTCCGTTTTTTTGGGCGATCCGGTCCCCTTTTCACGATTTTCGAGTCGAACCGGGCGAGTCCGGTTCGACTCGGCGTTTTTTAAAACGCTGGGTGAAACACAAACTGGAGCTAGGGAAAGGGAGAACATAACATTTTTAAGTAAAAATTTCTCGATTAATAAAACTGACACAACAGCTCGTGGAGCTTCAGTAATAGAAGCTCCAAAGGGAAGTACTGGTCCCCCGCTATCAGGGACAGGGCAACTGAGTGATGGATAAGTTAGCAAACATGGAGTAATTAGGGAAGAGATAGCATTGGGGGAATTTTTATGTCAATGTCTAGAATTAGTACCTTTTGTCTGTTCAAAGTTTTTTACATTAGTTAATTATAAAAAAAAAAAGATTTTGACAAAAAGTTCTTCGCATCCAATGTAACTGGTATTCTTAACTTCTTATGGAAACCAATACATATTTGCATGCATGCATGTATAAATCCTTCAAATCTACATTTACACATTTGTATGCATTCATATGAGATGCAAGCACCAAGACGCCATACTTATAGTAGCAACACATCATACGACTCATGGTGATAAAGGGCTTCACTTGTTGCTACCTGTCACATGAGCACCATGATGCGCATCATCTTTGAACTCTAGCAATAAGCAAAGCCAACGGAGGTCATGTAGCATAAGGTACAGCCTCACCATGGAGAAAACAACTCTGGGTTCCATAAAAAGCCTAAACAGTTTTACATCAAATTGTAATTTCAAAGAAAGTATTATCTTACTAGTAAGTATATCAAGCAATATTGCTTCTGTTGTCTCTGTGATAGTAGAGAACATGGTTTTCTTTTTCAATTCAAATTAGCTCCAAACCATGATGTACCTGGCATAATACAACTTGAAATGGCACCTAATAATCTAAATGTAAAAGCCTATGATGAAAATTAATGTTTGACTTTATTTGGCAACATGATAATTTGACTTCATATGATCATTGGGTAGCTTCTATTAGCTCTAATACAAGTGAAGCCCCAATATGGTAAGCCCTTACCTCTATCCAAAATGGTACAGTCATTGTGATAGATGTCATATCGAGTCAACCAACCACCCATGCCATGTCCACCAAATAACAAAAGCTGCAGATGTAAGCATGCCAACCATAAGCTCTATTGAAAATATGATGAAGAAAATAAAATAAAGTTTTGACATCTTTTGGACTGAATTTTCTTTTTTTGTTTTGGAGGGTATTTTGGGGGTTTTTCTCTGCAATGGACTTTTCTGGAATTTATAGAAACAGTCAAGGGGGTTATCTTAAATTTTGGGTGGGGAAAAATTAAGAGGGAAATGTTTGAATTTGAATGGTATTGTGCATGGCTTGGGAAAGTGTATTTTGCATGACTTGGGAAGGGGTAAAGTCTATTTAATGTCCCTAGGAAAGTTAAGAGAGCTTTGACTTTGAAGCTAAGCCAAATCTATTAAAAGGGGACATCTTACCCTGCTGGAGATCAATGTTTTGGCTGTAGATCTCAGAAAATCAGGAACTTATGTCCCATTTGGAGTGTCTTTGGACCCTCATACAAGCCATTGAAGCTAGGCTTTGTTAACTTCAACCCATTGTCTTTAAATCATAGTTAAGTTCCTTTCATTCTACCTTATTTTAACCTATTTCTCTCTCTCTCTCTC